TTGGAATCAGTTGCTGAAGATTCATCCAATGACGAGACTTCATCTCACTTGGTGGCTGAGGAAGAAGAATATTACCAGGGGTTTTCCCTTAACAGACCCACACTGGATAATCTTAACTACAGATGCCAGTGCACAAGGTTCGGGAGCACATTGCTTGAACCAGGTAGCTCAAGGTCAGTGGTCAAGAGAGGAATTTGTACTCCCAAGCAACATCCTAGAGGTGAGAGTTATTTTCAAAGCTCTCCAGAGATTCAGGAGAAGTTTATGTCACAAGTAGATCCGTATCTGGCGGCAGTGGCATATATAAACCATCAAGGTGGAACCCACAGTTGCATGTTGATAAAAGAGATTTACTCCATCTTGATATGGTCACACAACATGTTCAAGGTCTCCCTGCAGTCCATCTTCCACACAGTGTTGGATTTTCTAAGCTGTGTAACCCTGGACAGATTTGAATGGCATCTATGTCCAGAAGTTTTCCTGGAACTGACAAGACGTTGGAGAGTACCTCAGATAGACCTGATGGCAACATCCAAGAACAACCAGGTGTAGGATTACTTCTCCAGACACTTTAACCCACGAGCTCGGGGTCAGGATGCCTTGACTCAGGAATGGAGGTTCAACCTGACCTACATTTTTCCTCCCATACCTCTAATGTATGCAGTCCTGTGAAAGATTTGGAGAGAGAGGGGGGGACCATAGCAATTCTCCCCTTTTAGCCAAGAAGACCTTGGTTCCCTATGACGATGCCAGAAATCTCCCAGCCTGACCAGATCTTCTGATCCAAGGTCCTCCTCTCCATGCTATAAAATTTGGCAAGTGTTTGTTATGTGGTCCTTGGAGCATGAGTTGGATATCTCTCCACCTCCGATAGCTGCTATACTTAGCTTTCTCCATTCGGGACTCGATAAAGGACTAAACTGCAATACCCTAAAGGTTCAAGTTTCTGCTTTGTCTGCACTAACGGGTATTCGTTGGGCCCTAGACCCTTTGGTTGTTAGCTTCATGAGGGCTGTCATTAAAATGCGACCTCCTCTGAAAGCTTTTATGCCAACATAGGATCTCCCATTGGTGTTGTAAGCCTTAACCAAGCCTCCTTTTGAGCCTCTGGTTCAAGCTTCCTTGACACTGCTTACGCAGAAGGTACTATTGTTGGTAGCAGTCTCCCCCGCTAGGAGGATGTGTGAGCTACAAGCATTGTCCTGTATTCCACCTTTTACTAGCTTTCAGCAAGACAAGGTGGTTCTCCGACCAGAACCGGAATGTTTGCCTAAGATGGTTTCCAAGTTCCAACTCAACCAAGAGATCATTTTACCTTCATTTTACCAATTTCCTACATCACCTGAGGAGGATCAGTGGCATATCCTTGATGTGGTGAGAGCTCTCTCGATTTATATTGAGAGAAAACGTTCCTTCAGGAAATCCCCCAGACTCTTCATATTAGCAGTTGGTCACAGAAGAGATGAAGCTGCTTCCACATCCACATTGAGACAGTGGGTGATAACAGCTATTTCAAAGGCATACAAATTCCAATCCCTAACGGTACCTAAAGGTGTTAGGGCACATTACACATGTGCTGTGGCAGCATCATGGGCTACTGTGGCAAATGCTTCTTCAGACTCAATTTGCAAAGCTGGCAATTGGTCTTCTCTGAATGCAGTCATCAGACATTACAACCTGGATGTTATATCTGCTAACGTGACACAGTCCGGACGTAACATCCTTCAAGCTGTGCATGCCTCTCGTTAAACTTGTTTGTTTACTACTTAATAAATATATGTTGCATCTTGAAATATTCTGGTCCTTCCCTTTTTTGTTCGTTAAAGCTTGGGTATTCACGTGGGAATACCGTAATTTTTTTTCCTGGCTATTATTCATGGAAGCCTATACTGCCCACCCATCACTATGTCTCTATGTTTTACTGTAGTGCTTGTTACTGTATGAAGACCCTAGGACTGGAGCCTCCTTGTAAGTCTTTGGTGTTTTTTCCTGTCCTATCGGCTGTAAGCGGTGGAGCTAACCCATATAAGTATAGGCTGCCATGAATAATAGCCAGGAAAAGAAAATTACTGTAAGTATAAATACATTTTCCATATTCCTGGCTAATCATGGCAGTCAATACTTAAATGGGAATACCCAAGCTTTAAAGAACAAAAAAGGGAGGGACCTTTTCATAGTCCTTGGTATGAAATGGTAAGGCACTACGTAGAGCATTTACTGCCTTTGTCATATCATAATCAGGGTCCCGAGCACCTCTGCTGAAAGTAAACTGCTCAACTGTTTTACTGTTGATGAGGGACCTGGTGCCAGCGCACTCCATGCACCAGAACCTGTTCAATCCGTTCAAATCATTATGGTGCCTACAATTTACCTTTAACATTAACAAAAACTTTGAAAACAGAAATTTATAAGCTTTCTTTCATGCATACATTTAATCATACAAAATTGTCATGACAGATTATTTTTTTAATCTTACTGATCATCATATATATGGCACAAATTAAATTTTTGGCATTACTGCAAATATTAAAAAAAAAAATTTGGCTTGCAGGAGTACAGCACTCCATTATGCCAAACAATATATTGTAATATGATTGTTGAATAAGGATGTCCCGAACGGTTCGCCACGGTTCGCCGCGGACTCCAGTCAGCAGACACATTCCAGCCAATCAGCAGCAGACCCTCCCTCCCACTTACTGGACAGCTCACTAAGAATTCAGCTTCAAAATGGATGCTGTCCAGGAGGTGGGAAGGTCTGGGAGGGAGGGTCTGCTGCTGATTGGCTGGAATGTGTCTGCTGACTGGAGTCCGCGGCGAACCGTGGCGAACCGTTCGGGACATCACTATTGTTGAAGTAAACAGAGTGTTTAGCAATATAGAACTAGGTATCTGAAGTGCTTTGACAAATATAAATACTGCTCAAGATGCACCGGTCACAGAGGTTAGTTTTTTTATTTAATGTCAATCTCTTTCATTATTCTCTCTTTCTGAAAATTCTATCGCTACAAATGAATACATTTCTTTTTAATGTTTGAGTATTTCATTTTCCATATTCAGCACTCACTTTTTAAATATAAAAGAATAATGAAATTCAGTGATCTCTGGTCCAATCCAAAACATTGGGGTCTACAGTGCATGTGTTGCATTAATTGCTCTTTGCCAGTCGGATGCTTCTAATAGCGAGAATCCTAATTCTTCTCTGTAAGAAGAATTATTCATTTTGAGCAGGGAGCACCATCTTCCTGAGTGTGATGATGCCAGACATGAAGACCTTTTTTTGAAGGTATTAGTTAGGAAACACCCCTAGTGACTGTCTCTGTGGAAGTCACTGAAGATGGTTTTATGACAAATATACACATTGACATTTCTCATTACTGGCAATATTTACATTTGTTAGACTGCAGTGACAGGGTCCTGACCACCTGACAGGGCACCAAAACCAATACTACATAATGTGTTTTGATTGTGTATGGAAATCTGAATTTTACAAAGAGTATAATTTATTTATGTTTTGTATGTAAAAAAACAAAAGTTAAGCATTACTGACCAGTTTGATAACTGTGGTATATTGCAGATTGTTGCTTCAATAAAACTGCAATAAAACATTGATAAACTATCATAGAGGTTCATAGATAATGATTCTTCTTCTATATCATAGATAATGATTGTCTTTCCTTTTATAATCAATTTACTTCTAAAAATAGAGCTACAAAACAGCCAATTTAAATGCAAAATGTATATACTGCAAATGAGAAGATAATTATTTATATTTCTAAATAAGGGATGTACATAGAATTTTCATTTTGGTTTGGTTCAATAATTTTCGAATTTCAAAATGGCACAAGCCTGAGATGTATAACATTCATATTCGTAAAAGACATTTTAATATAATAATAATTTTATCAAGTTTTGAAAGGAAAAAGATTTTTATAAAGAAGTGTACATAAAAAAACAAACCAAAAAGCAACTCATTCATACCTTTAGTATATGACAGAATCCTTCAGCCATATACATACACCTTGGGTTAGCCGAGGGGTAGGCAACCTTTTAGGAGCACTGTGCCGAAATAAGATTGTGATGTCCTATTTTTTAAATTGAGGTGTGTATATTGCTGTATTCTGCTAGTGTTATTTAAAATGCGTTTGCTTTGTATCACTGTATTTGTGCATATATGAGCTATTATATTGTATCTATTCATAAATAGTTTGTGGTATCGTGTATGATACCTACGAATGTGGGCTGTGTATGGGAGCTGCTTGTGGAAGTGTGTGTGTGTGTGTTTGTATGGAAATGTCACATGGTGTGTTTGGTGGTGTGTGTGTGTATGTGTGGGGCTGTTTGGGGTATTGTATGCAAGAGCCTGCATGTGGAGTTGTGTGCATGTATGTGGATTGTTAGTGGTGTTGTATTTTTGCGGATTATGTGTACGTTTGTGTGTGCGCTGTTCATATTAATTGTATGAGGGGAGGGTTATTCTGGCAGTGTGGGTGGCTTCCCTGTGTGGGTGGCTTCCCTGTGTTCCAGCATGGTACAAGTCAAGGACAGGAGCTGCCACAGCAGCTGCGGGCTGCTCTACTACAGTCAGCATTCCCATTCACAAGAGGTGGAATGGAGTGATCAGAGATCACTTCCTCTATGTGCTGAAATGCATAAATTGAGGATTGTCCTTCACCAACTTTTCATATTAGCAGATATCTGAAGTTTCACTGGGACTCCTGATAAGCCAGACCCGGTTTGGCTCTCGCAGACTTGAGGGCCGTGCAAAGACACCTCAAGTGCTGTGCATGGCACATGTGCCATAGGTTGCCTACCCCTGGGTTACCCAGTCTTTAAAACCTTTTTTTTTTTTCATTCACTTCTTTTTCTTTTTTTTAAAAAAACCCCAACTATTTACCTTTAAAACTTGATTAAAGGACCACTATAGTGCCAGGAAAACATACTTGTTTTCCTGGCACTATAGTGCCCTGAGGGTGCCCCCACCCTCAGGGACCCCCTCCCGCCCGGCTCTGGAAAGGGGAAAGGGGTAAAAACTTACCTTTTTCCAGCGCTGGGCGGAGAGCTCTCCTCCTCCTCTCCGCCTCCGTTACGCCCCGCCGGCTGAATGCGCACGCGTGGCAAGAGCTGCGCGCGCATTCAGCCGGTCTCATAGGAAAGCATTTACAATGCTTTCCTATGGACGCTTGCGTGCTCTCACTGTGAAAATCACAGTGAGAAGCACGCAAGCGCCTCTAGTGGCTGTCAATGAGACAGCCACTAGAGGATTAGGGGGAAGGCTTAACCCATTCACAATTATAGTAGTTTCTCTGAAACTGCTATAATTATGAAAAAATGGGTTAACCCTAGCTGGACCTGGCACCCAGACCACTTCATTAAGCTGCAGTGGTCTGGGTGCCTAGAGTGGTCCTTTAAATGATTTCTATATAACAATAGAGGTGACAGTTTGTACTTTAAGTTTATCACATTTAAATGACTGGGTCTTTTTAAGCTGTGTTTATATTAAGATTGTGGTAAAATGACATTATGAAAAACTATTTACATGCTCCTTGTGCAATACCCATAGCGGTATACTTTTTAAAAATATATGCTTTTGAAGAAATTTGAACTTGTAGACTGAAAATACTTGGCATGAGTCTATTCACTATAGAACATCAGATACCTGTACATATAGATATTGCTGTGTCTGGTTCTAGTGGCGGAAAACCAATTGGGCCATTTAACTGTAGTGACACATCTTGAGTACAAAGTATAATAGCAAAGGAACTATTTATTCTAAAGTGCACATGTCATCTGCTGGTTTTCATTAAAGTTATTTTTTTTTTTTTATTTATTAAAAACTGTCAGAATGTATGTATTACTTTGATTCTTTTTTCACTTTTTTATTAAATAATACATGGATACAAATTTATCTAAATTATAATTGAAGGCTTATGAATCTGTTGTAAGCCCTCCTTCAATTTTAATTAGCTATCATTCAATAGACATTTAGACTTGCTTGAGAGAGAGAAAGAGATCAGTATTATAACTATTAAATCCAATGTAAAATAAAAGCACATAAATATCATCTTGTGGGATTATTTCATATATCATTTATGCACAAGAGTACTGCAGTGAACTAGCTTGTGGCAAGTGAGGCTACCAGGAGCTGGATGAATTGGATTTCCAAAACAGCACTAACACCACAGGCTTTAGCTCAAGTATGTAGAGGTTGGGCACCTGCTGGCCAGAGAAGAACTGCCTTTCCTATGAAGCCAAAGTGCTTTGTAAAAGATTGGTCAATAATATCAGAACAAAATAGTACATGTTTAAAAATGATATTCAGGGTACCATTCTTATTAAATGTCCCTTTTAATATAATTGCACATTGCACTGAAAACTACTGATCAACCTAGCAAAAGGTGGCACCCTTAACTTAGAAGAGCTGATTTGGGAAATTAAATCAGTGAAATTAGCATTTACAAAATGCACTTATCCAGTGTTGAAGCCTAGTTGCGCACCAGAACGTATGCCATGTCTCACAGCTCCTGGCCTTCTGAATCTAATCTAATCTAATGCTTGTTCCACTTGACAGCTTCCCCAACCACCTGTGAGATTGTCAGAGTTACTCTCAGGAAGTTTCCCTGAACAAGCATTTGCCCTTGCTTTTCTCCCAGTTTGCTAAATTTCAGCTCCGGTGTTCTATCAAAAAACCCTACCTTGTAAAAATTCCCTACTCTGAACACTAGCTCTCTTGATCAAGGTTCCAATGCCTCCAGATACTAACACCACATATGTAGCGGATGGCCATGAGCTGCCCTGGGACTTACATTATGTTTAAACTGTATTCGTCTATTTGCTAAATGTCTATGCAGTAAGGGAATGTATTCGTGTAAAATAGCTAAGTTCTATGTGTAAAATGTATTGGATTCGTCTGAATGTAAGGTAGTTTCATTCCCTTAGTTTGTTCGCATGAAACTACCGAACAGTCAGACCTCCCCTGTGTGAAGTGTGTCCTCAATTACCCGTTGCAACATTGTTGCGAACGGGTAATTGACAAGTGAAGTAGCCGTCCTTTGTTCTCGGGGGTGGCCGCCATTCGACAAACGAACACGTGGCGGCGGCCATTTTAAAACTCCCGAACAGCGGTGTCCGTTCGGTTCCTAACTGCCGAACGGCCCCTCGTTCGGTAGATAGAAAGAACCGAACGGGGGGATTCAGGCGAACCCTCCCTAGCCTCTATAGCTAGAGGTTTTCGTGCAGTTTGTTCCCTTACTCCAGGACTGACCGCAGGGCCCATTCACATGGAACCGCATTCGGCTGTTTCACTCAGTGCGGTCGGTCATTTTATTCCTTCCATAAATTTCCCTAACCCCTGGTCTGATCTGGGTGATTTTTGGATATATTGTTCACCCAGATCAGGGCTATCAGGGGGTGTAGGATTTAAAGGGGTACCCCTACGTTTAGGGGTACATCCAGAAATGGGGGGAATTACTGTACTGGATAAGGGGATTATGATGCCGGCTGAGGGGAGGAGATGTGTGGGAGGTTACCAGGACAGGATTGGCTACTGTATTAATGAATGTAATCCCTCCCTTGCATGGGAGCATGCTTTAAAAGGCCAGTGTGGATTAAAGATTTCAATTCTGCTCCTGAAACTGTGTGTCGCCCAGTTATTGGGATTGCTGTTGGGATATTGCTGTGTTATTTTGCCTGCTGGAGACCTTGCCTGTGGATTTACAATTTACTTGTTCCTGAGCCTCACTTGGATTATAAGCGGAGATACCTGGGGAATATTGCATCTCCGCTACAACATATACTAAGCAGGGCATAAAAAACTATTGTAAGACATGCAAAAGTTATCCGTTACTGCCCTGGCTGTGGTGAAAGCCAAGGTACAAACTGTGACAACTCAGGTACAAGCTACAGAAGAGGGTGTTCTAGACCTTAGGCAATATCTGGCACTGTTGGGGGAAACGGTTCAATAGCTACAATCATCACACCCTAACCTCCCACAATGAGTTGATCACCATGATTAGAGAGGTAAATCAAAGAACATTAAAATGAGAGTTGTTGAAGACTCTCTCACACACCTGAGGAGCTATCTTATTTTATTCAGTGTCTGGTGGCACAGATAATGCCTACAAAGCAGGCTAAGCAATTTACCTTTAATGCGGTATAACTGATTGCTAAATTCCCTCAGTCACCCATTACTGCCTCTCATGATGTTATCTTGCACTGCCAAATGTACCCGATAAGCAACACCTAAAGTCTACACTGCAGGAAAAAGTGCCCTGATGTGAGTTTGAGTCACATATCCACTCTGTTATGATGGAATTCCATGCAAGCAATCACCAAACTATTTCAAGAAGCATTCCTTGCCTATTATTGGTCTTCTTCTCTGGCCCCAATTCCCCATCACACTTGGCACACTGGAAGAGGACAAGACTCAGTGACATATCTATATACTTTGCTTTGCTATTCACATAGTTTTTGTTTTGTTTGTAGTTTTTATGATTTTTGCCTATTGCACTGCTTTACCATCTTGTGGCCTTGTAGGTGTCTGCGCTGCAACTACTTTGCATGAATGGTTGTATTTTTTTTTATTTTCTGATAACTCTTCACCCCACCACCATTGCCCCATTGGTTAGGGTGCCCAAAAAATGAGTAGCTGCCTCCTAAATCTAATTTTTTGCGCATCTTTTGAGTCTTTCTCTTAGCTGAATGGTTCCAAAAACCAGTCCAGGATTTCAGGATTACCAAGTTTTGTCCAAAGTGTTATTGTTCCCTTGAAACACCATGGAAACCATTGCCTTATCTTCCTCTTTTAATAAAAAAAAAGTGTTGTACTATAATTGTAAAATGGGTGCACGCCTGTGAGAATTGTTTATTTTATGCATTTTGCTGCCATATTCTCATGTTTGTCATCCTGATCGCAATATGTATCACTCACATAAATACAAAAAAGGCACTTATCCAAACATGAATGATGTAGAAGGCAAAAAGAAAAAATTCTTGGCAGAAGTGCCATAACCAGCTGTGCTGAAGCACAAGGCATTTACTGAACTTACTGGCCTCTCTGCTATTTTTATTAATTTTCTCACTCCACACATTATTAGTATACTTTGCAAGTTATCTAAAATTAGATAATATTCTACAATATATTTAGGCTTCCTTTTGCCCTAAATCCAAATTAGTGTATTAACCACTCCCCTCCAGCAACATCTGTTAATGCCTTTTCCCACATGTAGGTATGATCATGTGGCTACCTGTGACATGCACTTGATATTATGTTGCAGCAATGATGATGTTCTTGTTTATTTATTCCCAGTCTCTTCTTCCCGAACTATCACTAGCTGCCACTCTCTTCATTCATCATATTTCCTTGTCCCTTCTTCTTGAGAGATCATGTTTCCATAATTTTGTAAATACAGTAGCTGGCTCAAGCTGATACAATGGAAGATGTAGTAAGAGCGTTGATATATTAATTGAATGTAATAGACAAATTGTATTGCTTCAGTAGCTATAGAAATACAAATGGTTTGAAATTATTGAGTAAATATTTACCTCAGCTTTGAATAACAACAGATCTGCATGTTAAGAGCTTCCACAACATAACAAATGTTTGAGGTGGCCTTCTGCTAAACTGTAGCAAATTATGAAATTCCCAGTGTCCACAGCAAATATTGTCATTGGTTTGTGTAAGATTGAAAACATTAAATAATCAAGAATGATCATGTGTAGTTAAATTAAAAGTCCTGAGAGCCCTTTTTTAAAGCATGAATATGCCCTGTCATCACCTAATCTGTGGACACAATCGGATTATCCTGTAACACAAAACATGCTTTTGAGATCACTCAAGAGGAATCCACTGTTTGTGGCATGTTGCCTCCTTCTTTGTCAATAACAAACTGGATTAATATGAAAGTCATACTTTTGGTTGTAAATATTTGAATGATGAATAATGAATACCTGTTAATCTAATGCTTTTTGTTCAGTGCTATAGATGTCAAAATGTTTACAAGGGATTTTGGCTGTAGTATTTCTGAATATGTATACTTTTTAAAATGCAAAACTAGCAAACATCTACGGAGTTATTTACTGACAGGGAAAATATTGTGCAGATATTGTATATATTGTGTATATATGTATACTTTCTATACAGCCAACTTACTTTTTATGTAATAAAAGTATTGATTGCAATCCTAAACACTTTCTCTTTGTAATTGTAAAAATGTGTAAGACTTTTGATAATTGTTATGCTGTTAATGTTAATCCATTGGATGAATTGCTTCTCTAT